TTATAATTAATGCCGGCTAATTTTGTCGGGATTAAGTCCTTTCGGGAATATGTCTTTCAGGATTTTGTGGTAAAACCACTGTAACCTTATTCTTCAATTACACCAGAATCAGAATTTTTTAAACTTTATAAACCCAATTCACTATTAGAACCTCTTTTTAAAAATACTTTCTGAAATCTCTAAAAAGAAATGACGTATAGGTATTATAGTACAGTTAAATATACTAATAAAAAAAAATTTTTCAAATTGTCTTAAATATTTATCAAATTTATTAGAATAGATTTAACAAAATATTTTATATTAGCAAGTGCACTATCTAAAAAAACTACAATTATTTGTTTACTCTTGTATATTATTAATAGTAGTATATAATGTATTGTTGATTTAATAAAGTGTGCTTAGTGAATAATAAGGCATACTTAGGCGTCATCCATAATTTACATTAAACCGGTTTTGTTATAGAAATCTTAAAGTTGATACAAAAATAATATTATATTGTATTATTATCAAAGTCTCTATGTTTATACAATACAATACTGGTTTAATGTAAATTATGGATGTTGCCTTAGTGAATTAAAAATAAGACAACTTTACACACTGTTGAGACTCTAAAATATTGAAGTAAAAGTAACTTTGTTTTTTTTTTTTAAAAACCTCAATAAAAGTTAAACAATTAATATTATGAATACAAATAGTGATTTTTCTTTTATTTCTCGTGCTGCTTTTGATCGCTTGTGTCTGAATTTTCATCAAACCACACCCTACACAACACAAGAAAGCAATAATTACACAGGAATACTATGATTTAATTATAAGTATTCTAAAAAATCTCAAAGATGTATTTAATAAAACCATGAAGGATTGTTTTTGGACAAAAAAAATTTTTACCTGTATGATCTTGGAATACCTCTAAAATCCTATTATTTAGCTTATTGAAATAAAAAATGCAAATAAAAGAACAGACTGTGTCATTTATCTTTTTCAAAATCTTTATAATGTTCTTGGTAAGATATATAGTAATACATAGCAGCATTCTGGTTTAAAAAAACCTATGAGGCAATAAGTAGACAATATACATATGTTTCTAGATCATTCATAAAGTTTTATATTGCTTAGTATATACAATGTTTATATGTACAAAATTTTTGCTTCTATAATTAGAAAAACTATTATCTCAAAAAATTTTTGCAACATATACAAGTTGATTTGGCTTTCTTTAAAAAATATCCAAACAATAAGTATCAATATATTATATATCTTTATGATCACTTTTTACAATTTTTATAAACATGATTTTTGTATACAAAAGAGGCATTAGAAGTTGCTATATTCTTATTTTTAGTTTTTACAATTTTAAGTCTTTTTATATTTTACAAAGTAATAATAGACATGAATTCACAGCACAAATCATTTATAACTTTTTAGTCTATGGAAAGAAGTTCATATTATTAATAGGTATTCTTACTACCCACAGTTATAAAGATTAGTTGAAAGTGCTAATAAGACTTTAAAACATGCACATTCTACATAAATAGAGGATAATCAATAGAGAAATTGGAGTATTGGTCTTTCTATAGTTATATATACTATAAATATTTATCAATTTAAGCCTACTAGTTATACTCTATATAATTAGTTTTTGGATAACATCTATTATAATATTTCAATATAGTTGAAAATAGAAGTAGTACAATATCAGTATGGAGAAAGACTTACTTGAAAATATTGTTGAAAGTAAAAGTGATATTGAAGATGTAGATATCAGTGATGATATGTATGATAACTATAATGATAGCAAAATTTGACTCTTCAATAATATAATCATAGCTTTGTTTCTTTAGAGATTAATATAGATAATGAAAACTTATTGTATTATAATGATAGTAATTTAGATTTTATAAATAATAATAAGTATAATTAAGTTATTTAACAAGGTAGTCATATATATTTAAATACAGATAAAGATAAAGTATTGTATAAGTTAAAATTTTGGTTATTTAAAACAATTCTTAACTATTTATAACTAAACTTAAGAAAAAAATTGTCTAGCTCTAAAAGCAAAGTAGGAACTGCTAATAAAAATATGGACATAGAGAATATTTATATAGTAATGCAGCAATCTATTTGTGATAGTTAACAAACACAATTTACTAGTGATAACAATAATTGTATTACAGATAATTAGAACAAATTCTAAAAAACAAGGTTATTAATAGATAAAGTAGTTTTAATTAATCAAATAGATAAAATGGTTTTAATGATTCATATATAATGAAAATATATATAATTAAAGCTTCTTGCTCTTGAGGGAAGACAATCCCTTTGTGATTCACATAAAATCCGTCTCCTATTAATTACATACATCCCATATAGTATAAATAAACTTACCCCGATCTATTGCTTAAGTGGCATAAGTAGTACGATCACTGTTTTCTTGTGCACGTGATAAACGTAAATTGTACCGAAACATCTGTCCGGTTTATTCTCGACGTACTGAGATCCTCCATGATTGATATTTTCCAACTGTCTCAACGGACTGTAGACTGTTGTGGTTGTTGTCCAACTCTCCCGACGCACCGTGAATAGTTGTGATTTTTTGTATTATTCCGGTTAGAGGTCCAAGCGGAAGGTCACAGCTGTGGTTGTGTTTGAAGTTTATAGATGATAGAAAATACAGTATAAGCGCTAGCGTATATTGTCAAGGTATTTGATACAAGTCAAGGGAGGAATACCTACGACCAGTAATCACCATTCGCCAAATCTAAACGCCTCTTATCGACTAAGCCGATCGTAGGTTACACAACGCCCCAGATAGTTAAGCGACAGACTCACCGTTTTACAGTTGTCAATATATAGCAAGCAAAAGAAAATTCTTGCTAAGATAGGATTTAAAGTGGTTGATTAATTAAATTTTTTAAACATAGCTTACTATGCTGAAAAATTGCTAGAAAAATATCGTTAGCACGCGATTCTTTAACCCTTTTTTGATAATAATTAATAGAATAGAATCTTTTGATGAAAATCTTTTCCGTTTTAATCAAAAAGGAAATGTAGCAGATCACGAGCAGAAACACAATCAATAAAAAAGCGGGAAACAGAACTACAATGTCACCGAAAGATAATTTAAAGTATAATAGTATAATTTTGTATGAGCATAACGGCGGATTTGCGGGATTGGGCTTAAATTAGAGTCAACAATGTGATTAAAAAAAACCCCCCAAATTCAGCTATTTATGCATTCTGTAATTGTTAAATCCAGGGGCCTTAATTTAGATACAATTACGCAAATTCGCTGATATAGATTTTATATTTAAATCTCAGTGATTCTCCGCCAAAATCATGAGGCTATATCATTTTGTAAAGCGCAATAATTTACAGACAAGGCTTATTTTACCAATGATTAATTCACAAACATGTTTATTTTATAGACGGTATATTTCACCGACAGCTCATTTAATTAGTAGTCAAGTTTTTTTTTATAATTTGTACTAACCCTAACTCAAATTATAAACCTACATTAAAGAAAATGACTAGAATTACTTTGCCCGTGAAATGAGCAGTCGGTGAAATATAATATCTATGAAATGAACTTGTTTATTCTTAATTGACGGTGAACAAAGTTGTCTGAGAGGTGACTGTGAGTTTGGACTGAGTCAGTTATAGCTGTTAGGCGAAACCATGTGATAATAATCATCACCTATCATAAAATACCAAGACCTAAAAATTTAATCTAGTTTTTATTAAATAATGATATGTGATATTTAGCATCACATTGTTTCGTCTAACAACTATACAGTCAGTTGGGACCAATTAGAAATGCCTTCGTTCCTGGTTTAGCGTGGCAGCGTTGCGCAACTATCTTATTGATACTATTTTAAGGGAATATTTCTTCAAGGGAGTACTATATACAGCGCTGTATGGTATACATCTTAAAACGTTATTCATAATATCGGTTCATGTTTAAAAATATAACCCATATGGTGTAATTACTATAAATGTTTGTTAAAAAACAGAATATGCAAAACTCCACAATATTTACGTATTATTAATATTAGCAGTATGCATGTACGTACGTACGTACATACATACAGCTAAATTATATTGTGCAGCATACAAAATGTAACGATATACAAACTTTCCATATGATATTTTAATAAATATAAAACAAAGAACGGAATTATACTCCGTAATCCTATTAATTATGCTATCGATGAAAAATAGTCATTAATTAAAATATTTGAAGTGTTAACTACATTATTCGACCTTAATCCTTAATTACAGAAACTTATCGTATTATATTTTGAATATAATGAGCTTGAATTTTAAATGGCGTAAAAAGAAAAATTTAGATCCAGTTCAAGCTCTCTATACAGAAGGAGAACAACTGGCAGAATGGTTACTCGTTAAATATTGTGCAATTGCAGTATTAGAGAATTCTAATAAGCATGACAAAAATATCCAAGATTTGCAAACGATCCTTTCAAAGAGTCAATCCATACAAACTAAACAAATTCAGCAACTTAGTGAAGATGAAGTTCAATGGTTACGAAATTCCAAAAGCAGTATGGAAAACTATATAACAGAAAATATCCAGAAAAGCATTAAAATTCTTGAGGATGAAATTGTCAATCTGAATGAGTATAGTCAAAACGGCATAAAAACTAAGGATAATTTGATATATCAACAAGAGGTTCGATATATAAATACCCTTAATGCGGAAAATGAAAAGCTAAAAAATTATTTGATAGAAAAACGGGACCAATGTGTAGAATTAAATATGAATATTATTATTAATGAAAAATTGATTCAAAAGCAGAATATAAATACCAGTGGTTCTGAATTTGATGCAAAAGAAACGATTGAAAAATTAGAAAGCAGCAATAAAAATTTAAATAATGAGAAAATAAACTTAATATCTAATATACGTAAAATTGGAAATTTTTCTAATGAGGAACTTCACTATCTTGGAACTGAAAAAAACAAATTAAAGGATTTTATAATTAACCAATGTGATAATTTTGAAATATCAATTCGCACAGAAGCTTTTAATGCAACACTCAATACTTTGCCCGATGGTCGGCAACTTGTAATGGATATTCAAATTCTTCGTGAAGAAAAAGTAGTTCTTGAAAATAATTTAAAAGAAAAATTTAAGGAACAAATTGAACTTAATCAACCCACACTAAAAGAATTTATGCAGAAGTATGGAGCGTTCAATGATGAAAAAAAGAAAATTGAAAATGAATTAACCGTAATAAAAGACAAGAATAATAATATTATAGATCGGCAACGACGTCTTCAGAACCAAATTAATGAATTAGATAAAGAAAATGAAGATGATTCATCTATAAATATTATTAATGGTGCACGTTATCAATTGATTCAAACACTAATAGAAAATATTAACGACCTCTATAACCAAAAACGTGATTTGAGAAATTATTTGATGAGAAAATATGATCTGCTTATTCAATTGGTGAATTTAAACGATGAACATCCAGTTATTGAAAAATATATAGAATATCGCAATAAATTCGAGAGTTCTTCTCCTGAAAAAAAATTTATCTTACGCAAGACTAATAATAATGAGGTCATAATCTCTTATGGTGGAGAATTTATTGACGACACGTGTCACTTCCAAACCCTCTACAAAGAGAAAGGAGATTTAAAAACTTATTTGTGTACTCAACCTAGAAAGACTATTGATGATTTCAATTCTGAAAAGCAAAAATTGGAAGAAAAATTAGTCTACATAAACGCAACCAAAAAGTATCAGAATCTCCAAATTAATATTCAGTCACTTTATAAAAAACTATGCGAATGGAAATCCGATTTGGTAAATAGGTATAATCAACTTATTAAACTAGAAAAATTCATTAATGATGATTCTTTCATATATACTAAGAGAGTCAATGAACTCATGGAAGCGATTCAACCTTTCAACTATGATTTCGCAAATGTAAATCAACGTGATATAGAAAATCTAATTTATGATTGTGAACAAACCATCGATAAATACCGTAAAGAAATTTCGAATATTCAAGCTGAAAGAAATTACATTGTTACAACTATAGATAATGTAAAAGTTCAAATTGAAAGTGATTTAATTAATAAGTATAGGCAACTAGCTCAATTAGATGAATTTAAAAAATGGACGCTTGTTTCAAACGAGTATCATAATAATATAAAAAAAATCCAAGAAATCCCTAACCTTAGTGATACAAATAATATCCCTCGCCCTAGTGATACAAATGATATGCAAAACAATATTGATCGAATTCGACAGCTAGAAACAATTGTTTCAAACCTTGAAGGTGATATGAAATCAAAAGATGAAAAAATATGTGAATTAAAAGGCGAATTGGAGGCAAAAGATATAAGAATACGTGAATTAATCGAATTGAATAGTTCTTTTAGAAATGAAGCTGTTAAATATCCATCAGAACTTAGGAAAGTAACAAATTTCGAATTTGGTGATCATGATAGCAATAACATTGGGCAATTATCAAATGAAATCAAACAATTAAAACATGATCTTGAATTCTTTTGTACTTTAAGAAAATCTATTACTTCCATCAATGAACCATATATGAGAAATCTTTTGATAAAATACAATTGCTCAGCAGAAGTTCTCGGAAAAAGCTATAACAAAAACCTATTAGAAGGTCTCTTGCAGCGTTATATTATTGAAACAACCATTTCTGAAGCGATAAATTATCTTGATACTGATGAATGGAGTAATGAGGCTTGCTTGGAAGCAAAAATAAAGTCAGTGACGAATAGATTACAAGAGTATGCAACTGAACTTTCAACGCATCGATTTGGAACAGACAAAGCCTCTCGTGCAATCCCTGCAAAATTATGTCAAATGGTATATAATCTTCTTAGCAGCAGAGGTTTTTCTAAGAATAAAGATGAACGTGAACATCCAGTTATCGAGCGTTTAACAAAGGAAATTCTAAATATAATGAATAGCTGTCGTAAAATAAATGACCCTGTAAAGAACGAGAAAATTGAATCCATGGCCATCGAAATCGTCCGACAAATCATTGTGATTTTTCTTTTTCGATTTAAAGTTCAAGAACCTACTATTGAATATCTATGGTTTGAAAGCAGAGATAAAATTGAACTTGAATTTATGGAATTCTCAGTAGATGAAGATTTTAAAAACGCTGAAGTAGGTATTTGCTCATTTCCCTTAATTATAACAAATTTTAAGAAACCATATCACAAAGTGATCTCAAAAGCAAACATTGTAAAAATAAATTTCTAATGATGTAGTAGTAAAAATTGCTTTGCGACTTTGAAAAAGAATATTTTTAAATCGTATTAGTATTAGTTCTTAAAATGTACGTACGTTCGTTCATAGTTTTTATGTCTTATTTCAATTTCTATTTACATGCGCAAATGTACAGTCGATACTGTCTAAATGCATACCGTCGGGAAAGGCAAAAAAAAATCAAATTTATGCATTTATACAGTATCAACCAATCAAATACCAGAAAATCAACTGTCTAAATGCATATTACTAATAAATTTCTTTAAAAAATTATGCATTTAGACAGTATGCAGTATGCATTTAGACAGTATCGACTGTATATATATATACTGTATACTATATAATCGATAAATTTAATAGCAACTTAAGTTGAATTTAAATTCGATACTATAATAATAATATTTAATTGGAGATATTGCAAGAATTAGTTACTGTCATTAAAAAAAAAAAGAATTACCGGTAGTTACTGTTAGTATATAGTAAGATTAGTTAAGATGATAGTGTAATTTAATAGAAGCTCATTAAAAAAAAAAGAATACATGTTAAGCAATGTATTTATAATAGTTATATAGTAAAATATATAATTAGAAAACAGTCAGCTTTAAATTAGCTATATTTTTGATATATATATATACATGTAAATCTCTTAATGCGCAGTAACTGCATAGTTACTATATAGTTAAGTAATTATATAATTACTACGTCGTTATTGTGCAGTTACTGCGTATTAAGATATTTTAATTTCTGTAAAGAAGTTATTACAAATAAAAAAAAATACTGTTTTACTATATATCTCTACCTATTAATATTATAAGTATTGTAAAATGCAATTCCCGATTAGTTTATTATAAATCTATTTACGGATCTCTTGCAGTATATGTGAGACTATTAATAAAAAGTATAATTAATCAATTGATTTAGAATAGTATCATCTATATTGCAAGAGATCCTTATTTACACCATAAGTGTGCTTGTAAATGCAAACCAAAGAAAACTAGCTATGTTACTGAAGAGAATAACGTGTTTGATGATTTTTTATCCCTCATTATATATATATATCTATCTATAAGCGAGCGACCTCTTGGTCTTGTGGTCTTTATTAATTATTGTAGTCGTATATACGATTGTATTACATATTACAATATTTAATTTTGGACTACTTTATCCTCAAAGTAGGCTAAACCCAGGTCGTTTAATCTCACAATTATACGAACCAGGATTTATGCTACAGCCTTTTTACCTTTTATGTATTTCTCGCATCTCTCACATTTCCTATCCAAAGTTCTTCCATGCAGGTGGCCAGTAAAGGCAGAGGTATTCGTAATCCTCACGGATTACTTCCTCACATGGTACCGACTATAGTTCCATGGGTCAGGTCGTCGTCTTACATCGGTCCTTGCTACCTGCTCCACGGCCCTCAACTCGTCAACTTCCAGGACTGGGAAGTCTAGTACTTACACGTTCGATGGTGGTCTTGTGCTAAGCTATATACATACTGAAAACTCCGTGTGTTGGTAAGGTACAAGCTATATTTCGTAACGTTATCCTTCATTCTATTGTCAAATAAACTAAAATTTCTATTTCTATACACTCCCCGTTAATGTAAATCGTTTTAGCTTTTTGTGATTTTTCAAACTTTTTGATTGAAGATATTGCTAGATGGGTGTTGAGATATCTTCGATCAAAGTTTGAAACCAGTTTTTAACGCACTTATATATTGATATACGTTTAAATTTTTTACAAAATCTTTGATCGAAAATATCTCGACATCCACCCAGCCAAATTCGATGAACTTTTTTATTCAAATTCTGCTAATATTTAAATTAAACCAAAAAAAAGCCCATCGAATTTTGCTAGGTGGGAGTCGAGATATCTTCAATTAATGTTTGAACCCAATTTTCAACGCACTTGTATTTGATAGACGTTTAAACTTTTACAAAAATTTTGATCGAAGATATCTCGACACCCACCTAGCTAAATTCGATAACCTTTTTTGATTTAATTATAAAATCAACAGGATTCAAAATAAAAAAAAAGTTCATCGAATTTGGCTGGATGGGTGTCGAGATATCTTCGATTAAATTTTGAAACCAATTTTCAACGCATTTTTATTTATAGACGTTCAAATTTTTACAAAAACTTTGATCGAAGTTATCTCGACATCCAGCTATCTAGATTCGATGAACTTTTTTTATATTTTAATTGTAGAAATCAAAAAATTCGAATAAAAAAAGTTCATCGAATTTGGCTAAGCGGATGTCAAGATATCTTCGATCAAAGTTTGAAAAAAAATTACGAAAATCTTAAAATGATCTACATTATCAATAACTCCCTATTCAGTATTGTCAATATATTGATAAAAATTATATTTTATTCAATAAAGGTTATGTCGTACGTAGGAATGGAATTATTATAGATTTAAAATCCACCTAGGTTGATTTCGAATAAACATAGATTGTAATAGAATTCTACGTGCTCGAGTCGTTAAAGAATTCCAATTCAACTTACAACAAAATTATGTTTATTTCATAGAGTACGTTGGTTTGAAATTTAAACCACTAAGATAGGATTTATTCATAACACAGTGCATTGCAAATTAATTAAATTTAAAAGCATGACACGAAATTCTTACATCTATGATTAGTGGGATAGCAACTATTCCTACAGGATATTTATTTTTAGATTTACAGCGATTTTTGTTTCATGCATTTTTGAAATTGCATTTAATATTACCTACTTGTGAAAAGGAATGTAAATAGATGCTTTTCAAATGCTTATTGAAAGAATACTATTTTAATCACGTATTGCAAATGTATTTTTTGCTAAATAACGATTTTTTGCATCCCCGATTGTTGTACTTGCTGAATCTTGTAAAGCCTTAATACAAAACAAAAGTTTTTTATGTTGACTATTTGCCGACTCATTACTAAATATTTGAAAAGCAATTCCTTGAATACATTACGGGCTAAAAATAGATAATCTTAATATCCGGCCATCAGGTAGAGAGAGTTGCAAAGAATGAAAATTTGAAATAAAAAAAAAAAGTAATATTTTGACGATATATCTAGAGATTGGAATCGATGACTAATTATTCGATCATCGATCAAAAATTTCAAGCTTCGAAATAAACTTTCATTCACTGAGTTTTTAATTCGGTTATCAGTGAAAGTTAAAATTTAACTATTTGTTTTGATGTACATTCTTGATTGAAATTTAACTGTGTTTTTGATAACGATAATAAGATTATATATTTTTTGATTGATTATAAATACAATTGCATAAAGATTGATTTAATAAATCTTTCAAATTTTCTAATTGACATTGGCGTATTTACCGTAAAAACATGGAATTTGATTTAAAATTGAATAAAGAAACATCTTCTGTTAATGCTCCCGCAGTTCCTGCATGTTCTCGGATGCAGGAAATTTTATGAGTGCGAAGAGAACATTATTAAAGCCGAAGTTATTTGGCAGAATGATATTTCTAAAACGTAATATGAAATCAATTGGTTTTACTGTTCCTGAGATCTAGGATTAGTATAAGGTTGTTTTATAATGCAAAACAGCAAATTGCAAGTCATAGAAATTTATGAATTTGTGTCAAAACGGATTCCCGAAAGAACATAATACCGACAAAGTTAGCCGGCACTAGCTATAATGCTGGCCAATTTAGTCTGTGTTACGTTCTTGAATTTATATTAAATAATATAGCGGTAGCTAATTGATAAATTATATATTAAAAATGATGGCATTACAATTGATAAATGTTACACTAAATTTTAAAGATTCATCAAACAATCGAACATTGGTCAAAATTTTTTTACCGATGCTCGAAATTCTAGAGTTTGTGATTATTTAAAACACACTATCGGCAATAAGCTTCATTTGCCTCTCACATGCTTCTATCGCCAGTTGTAGGTCCTTCAAAACTGTCCATTCGGATCCGGATCCGGATCCACTTTATGCAGCGAGTTTGAAAGACTGCTACTGGCTATAGGTACATGTGAGAGACGAGTGGAGCTTGTTTCTGGTAGCGTGTATTTCGTATTAGTTATATGTACAGTTTTAGTTCGAGTATTCTTTGTAAAATGCTACTTTAATACCCATTAAAAATTCCGGATCTTTTTTGCGGAACACTAGTCTGATCAACATAAATCGCAAAAATCAGATATGGGGCACCATAGATCAATCAGAAAAATATTATTTACTATAATATTTTCTAAAAAATCTATAGGTTAAGTAATAATTGATAAATATTTTATAAGCTTTATAATACATAACTTTTATTTATAAAGTAGCAATTAGTATGATAGAATATATATCAACTAAATGAGTTTAATTTTTTATGTTGTCTTTGATCTTCTTAATTGTGAACATGGGAGTTGAAATAAATCAATTGAAATCTTCTATTGCTTCTATTAACGTATATAAAGTAAAATAATAATGTAATATATATAAAAAAAATTAAAATTATGAGGAATTTGGTCTATCTCTAAGATATCTTTTGTATGCACTATACACACGCGCTATTTCGTAAGAAGTCATCCAACCCTTTGGCCATAGCGTCAATAGCTTGAAATTAAAGCGAAAATTTAATTAAAATCATGTCATAAAAGAATAAGATTCTTTATAATGTTACTTACATATTGGTATAAACTTTTTCGCCTCGTTTGTTCGGAATGTCTCTCAGATTTTTCTTCAGCCTCTCTATTTAGAGTTAATAAATATTAAATCAACATTTAAAGTATTATTTATATAATCGATAAAACAAGTTAGGGCATACTTACGCAAGACAGTTACTCATTACAACCCAAGACATTTCTTCTTGGACTATTTTCCACAATAAAAATCTTGTGTTTTCATCCCATCGAAATTTTTTTCCATTTAACGTTTCTTTTGATCTATTATTATTAGAGCTACTATCAGATTTACTATCAGATTTAATGTCACCATCTGCATCTGCATCAGGCTCAATATCCGCATCACCATCAATTTCCATATTGGAATCTATTTCAGCACTATTATCACCGTTTACCGGTACTGAAGATGAAGAAACAGATGCATTCCGTTCGTTTAATTCCTGTAATAAAGATGGCATGATTTCATCCACTGCAATTTTCAAACGGCCAATAAATTCTAACTTTCGTTTTTGTAACTCTATCAAGGCTTTTGGATATAATGTCCTCTGACAAAGTCGCTATTTTTTTTTTTTTTTAATTAAGAGAATGAACTATTGTTAGCAAAAATCGGATATACAATGAAAGTGGACTAATAAGTGGTTTTTACAAACCGTTATTGTGAATTTATTATATGGTAACATATTGGTTAGTATTTTAAAAAGATTTTCATTGAATTGATTAAGTTCATAGGCTCTTGAAAGAAGTTCCATCAAAGGAGGTTTAAGATTCTGTGGGAACCTAGACTTGACCTCGAAAGATTCTTTATTTATATTTGCGAAAGATTTATTTAGTAAATTATTGAATCTTAAATGAAGAATAAATAAATCATCCAACCTTTATCTACTTGTTGTTTAAAGAGATCTAAAAGATACTGAACATCTGGATGAACAGGTTCCTACACAAAAAAAATTACAAATAAGAAATCAGTGTCTGAAAGTAAGACTTCAATAATATGCACGAATTAAAGCTTACCACTGGATAAACTTTTTTCTTTTTTCCCGGAGGTTTATTAGGATCCGATAAATCTTTTTGATTTGCTGGATTATTATTCGCACCTATAGAGGAAATATTTGCACTTGAACTAGGATCCGTTATATGTGAGGGATTGGTCTCATTATGTGAAATTGAAGCCACTAATGACGATTCCTGGCTGGTATCACCGGCAGTCTTCAATTTCTTTGATACACTCTTTTTTGGGGCAGCAGCCTTTCCTTTCCCATCACTACCACCTTCTGCTTTTTTGACAGTACGTGCCTTTCTAACTTTTGGACCGTCAGTTTCGGAGGATTTTGGCTTACGTTTTGCAGCCTTTTTCTTAGGCGATGGTTCATCCCTAAAAATATATATAAAAACATTTTGTAAAAATTTAACATGCCAAATATTTAATTTTGGCTTATTTATTCCAATCTTAATTCATGCAAAAAAAGTGATACTTACTCATCAACTAATCTTTCTAAAACCAATGGCCCATTCCATACAAAAAACCCTTCAATCTGTGGGCGTACTTTTCCGTAATCACGCTGTAATGGAGCCAATTCACTGTCATCTATGAATGGATCATTCACATCGTAATGCTGTTCTTTCTTGATAATCCTTCTCTTTTTTTTACGAGTTTTTTCCTTACAATTATAAATGATTAACAGAAACGTAAACATATACAATATTTATTACATAATTGTAAATTTTAAATCTGATTCAAAAATAAATACCTCTTCGACTATGGCATATTTTTCCGCATTCTCCAGAATTCTTTCAAAGAATTCATCATTTTCATCACGAAAAGCACGTGGCAAATCAATTGCTGCTGGAGGTGTTGGCGTTCGAAAATCGTCTGGAGTTTCGAAATCTGACCATTCCGATTGCGGGGATTCTGACCCAGGTGTTTCTGAACATGACATATAACGTGGAGGTGTTTTTGCAATAGTATATCCAGCTTCCTTTAACAAATCAGGAAAGTATACTATGTTATTGTATCGACTCGTCAGAGGAATATCAAGCCGAATTTCGGGTTGTTTCTCAGGTGTCTTTGGTTCAGTATTTTCAACAAGTTCACGATTTTGATGTTTTGGCACTGTTGAAGCATGCTGAGTTTCTGATTCAATAGCACTAACGGCTGTTTCTGTAGAATTATCAGCCTCTGCTTTTTCTGTAACATCCTCCTCTTTACTAATGGTAACTTCCATTTTATAGAAGTGTTCAAATCAAAGAGAAAGTGATAAAACCTGTACAATATTTACGTCAATTTTAGTGTTACGATCAGTAAATTACATAATCAATTTTTTTTTTATGATAAAATAAAAAATTTTAAATATAGCATGTACATATGTATATCGACATATTTTGTCATATTCGTCATATCATATAATGGTCGAAGTTCAAGAGGTATTTATACTTTTTCAAACTAACTGATAGACTTTAAATAACTAATAATATAAAATATCAAAGGTACCTGAAGGTCACGAATTTTCTGACAATTCAGATAACGAGTCAACTAGTTCTTTGGATTCGGGTTCTTCTGAAGAACTGGAATCTCTTTCAGAACGATTAGCAGCTTTACGTGATATTATACCAGAAGAGACGCGTGACTCAATAACAAATAATGTTTCATCAATAATGAGATTTGGCGTGAGAAGTGCTCGCTTTTTAGGAAATGTATTTTGGGTTTTGACCACTTCTGCCATAATTTTGATTATGCCTTTAGCGCTTGAACTTGAAAGAGAGCATCAAATTATCCAACTTGAGAATGAACAAAAAGCCCTGGTAATTTATCAATTTATTAATAGTGATGTTGTTTTTTAAAGCTAAAAACTCTTCTAATATTATATAATGTTTATTTTAGATGAGTGGTCAATCTAGTAACCCTTATGGACAATCTAGCAATCCTTATGGACAACTACCGGGCCAAGTAAATCCTTTGGGAACATCAAGACAACCTCAACTTAATGATTCTAGCCAATAATGAAAAAATTAGCTAAAGCTAATTTTTTGGCTAGTTTTTTTAAAATGATGATAATTCACGCATAAGCTTTTTTGATGATTAAAAAAAAAAAGTTCTTTTATATATACTGTATATTGCAAATAGCAAGTTATAAATTGTCATAAAAACTATCGATGAAACTTTAAAGAAATTTTATTCCCTGATAAATCTATTCGTTAAAGATTTGTCATATTTGATCGACGAGAATTGACAACTAATCGGATGGATTTTTATCTATGCGGATAATATCAGATATTGTATCTGTAATTAATATCAGATAAACGATTCTTTTAGTCGCGTAGTCTTGGTTTATATACTTTTATAAATAAAACTTGTTTTACGCAAGTACTGTTGCGTATACATGTGTTTAGGACCATATAACACTGATCTAAGTAAGCTAAGTAAGCTAAGTAACTGAAATTGCTAAGTGGATTAGACCTCAACATAGTGGAGCTGAAAACCACTGTAATGCTATGTTTTTTGCAAGGTTATACTAATATTACATAAAGCGGATTTCACGATTACTTCACAAAAAAGCCATTCCCTTGCAATTATAAAATTTAAGCATTTAAAACTTTTTTTAAAAAAAATGCATTAGAAATTTTTTATACGTTTAATAATCTTGTTTAAACTATCAAATTTTTAAGTTATATCAACTAAATTTACATGTAACTTAAAAATTTATTTATATATATAGCAAAAATAAATTTTATTAGTAAAATTTGCATTTTTCAGATTTTTCAGTTTTTTATTGGTTAAATATGTTTCACTGCAAGTGAAAAAATTCGCATCAAACAATAAAATATATCGAAATGGTAATTAATTAATAAAGCTTATGGCTTTTTTGCAAAATATCTTTAAGACTAAGCTTACGCAAACAAAGTGATTCAATAGTAGAATTGATTACGTATTATGCGACTAGGCATGACGAAAATCGTTAATATGGGTCTTGACGCATCTAAGATAATTTGGGCATACTATTTAGTAAATGGTATGCCAGAATGCCATCCTCGCATGCCATAATATAAATTAAAAATTATATATAATAAAAAACCTTTTTCCGGAATATTATTAATCAAATTAGATTACATAAATTTATACCAATGAAGGCATGCTTAATAAACTTTAAGCACTTTGACATTCCTATGACTATCCCCGTCCCTATCAGCAAATTCGGCTAAGCCGATTATGTTGAACATCGGTTCAACAGCAATGATGAAAGTACCAGAAAATCACTCACTCAATTCTTTTACTTCATTCAATTAAAAAATTATCTATTTTCCTATCTCAACGATTATCATTAAATAGCATTATTAGCATTGTTAATAAAATGACAAACACAATTAGATGTGATATTGACAATCGATATTATTTTGTATAATTATTCACGTATTCGAATAATTTGAATTTGAATACTCAGAATAATAGAAGAAATTCCATTAATTATTTGAGGATTTTAATTGGTTCAGAGTTGCATGTTCTTAAGAACATTACTGGCCATAAATAATTAATTTCGATCGTGGAAAAAGTTAATAGGTTAATGTGATTGCAGCATTAAACTTTAAGCAATAAAGTGATAATGCCTATGATGTATCTTTCAATGTTATCTACCTCTGGTTTGATTTTTTAATAAAAAGAATTATGCAATGAATAGCATTTATTACTTTATTTAGATTAAAATAAATCAGTATTAGAAATTCTTGGGGCTTTAGATGTCTGATGTTGCAGAAATAACATTCTCATCATTAATTTCCTGATTAGTTTCAACCTCTTGTTTTTCTTCTGATACATTATTTTCTTGGTGTTGTGTGTTTAACATTTCCTCATTTTCCACAATCAATTCTTTCAGTTCTTCATTTGATTCCTTTCCTTCTGCTTTTTCGACTTGTTCATGTTTCATTCTTTTCGACTGAAAAATGTTCAATTTAGTATAACATCAAAGTATGTTGTATCAGAAATTTGACTAATAAGCTTTCGTAGGAACGAAATAAAATAAAATCTACTAAAAAGGTTCAGAAGAATTTAATTTTATACAAACCTCTTTGATTTTTTCTTCAAGATCTTCTTTTGTAGTCTTATAAGTGTCCAGTTTGTACAAACATTGTTGAAAAATGCCAGCAATTTGTGGTGAGTATTGACAAGGATCAATCGAAAGGAGTTGCTTTTCTTAATATATTTTAACAGATGATGTGAATAGGCATAGATTAAGTACGTGAATCGAGACGAAAGAAAAATGTAATGGTAGTAACCTATATCATAATCTTTTACGATATCTGTAAATACATCATAATACTGTTTTTAGTTATGTTGCAACCAAAAAGGTTAATAGTTTAGCACAATTCCTATAAATTGCCGAATTTGATTTATAACACAGAAGAGAATATAAATGTACCTGATCGACTTGGTCATTCATTAATTCCACGAAATTTCGTACAGGTTTTGTATCAATAAGTAAATTATGATATACAGTTATGTGATCTTCAAAATCAACATATATAAAGCATGGAATATTATAACCAGGCGTTACAGCATATTTACCTAGTCGTGGAAGACCATCAGATTAATAAATAACAAAACAAGTGAAAAAATAATCTTTTATAATCATACCAGCGGCAAATGCACAAACTCGACCTTCAAATTCAAACTTGACCACATTAAAATCGAGATCAATTATATAAGTATTGCCGTTCCACGTACACGCGACAAATACATCATCATCTCGCTCATCTAACGGTATTTCAGTCTCATCACATGTAAAATCTATAGCAGCTACCCCGAAAATCTTATGTGTCACTTGCAATTCGTGACGCGACATGGTTGATGTTTGGAGGTCAAAAAATGTAAAATTACCTACAATGAAAGGTTTAGATATGAATATCTAATATAATAATAATAATAATAATAATAATAATAATAATAATAATAATAATAATAATAATAGTGATAATAATAATAATAATAATAATAATAATAATAATAAGATAATAATAATAGTAATAATAATAATAAAATAATAATAATAATAGTAATAATAATAGTAATAATAGTAATAATAGTAATAATAATGGGCCTTTTCAAAGTGAATTTACTAGTAGATTTGTAGGTGCGAATTTTCGTATTGTAATGTATTGTATTAACCTATGCGTGTGCACTAACTTGGAAGTAAAATAAAAAATATGATATGCGATAGAATAAATTTAGAAGCTCTTATAATATATTTTTTATTTTACTTCCAAGTTAGTGCACACGCATAGGTTAATACA